GCTAGTGATTCAAACCATGCACTTTTTAGCTACACATCTCCATTCTCCACGGTACTTAGCTCAACCCTAACAGTATGCCCCACTTAAGGGGTGTTTAAATGGTTACCATGGTTATTACCAAACCAAATAAGGCTAAATTTCATTAACCATGGAATACAATATCATAACCAAACCGTCCAAACTAATACAACAATCAAATTAACCAAACTAAAGTTTAATCGGTTTGGTTAATTGGTTAACCATATTAACCAATATAAAATCACATTATCATTAAGTGAGAAAAATTTCGGTTAATTTATCAATTCACAATTTATATAATGAATAAAACATAACAATCAACACTTGGTTATAGTTGACATTTAACATAAATACATGCAACTAAGACAATTATCTTACGGTTAGTATAGAAGTATCCACCTAGCAAAAATTTATCACAATGGTATGGGTTAATGAATTGTTGTGTTTGTATGAATTGACTAGTCTTTTAGCAATTTTCATAGGTTGAAAAAGACCTTGCTTTTAAGTTTTCATCCAACATAATGTATGAGATTTATCTAAATTAGGCGTTCATATGTTGTGGTCTACACTCTACATATACATATATACATTATAGGAACAATATCAAGCTTTATATTTTATGAGTCTAAAAGGGATGAACGTTTAACTCTTGAGTGCTTATTCAAAGTATTAAGTATGTGTATATATTAGATATATGACTAATTATTTATCTGGTTAATTTGGTTTGACTGGTTAGGAGTGTCTGAAACCAAACCACCTAAACCAAACAAGCTAAAAACTTTAACCAAACCAAACCAATTATCCAAATTAACCAAACCAAATTATCCAAACAATACTGGTTAAAATGATTACTATGGTAACCACGCCGTTTGAACCCCTACTTAGCAAACCAAAACGAAAGATGACTATGCACAATCGTAATCATCTACTTGGCGTCGAGTATATTATTGCTTGCTTTACACGGTAGCTCAACAAGAAATGAATGTGTAATTATTGAACACAAGCTTGCTTAATTAATTGGGATTAGCTAGGAAGGTGGGAGCCAACCCATTGAGATCTTGACTGATCCCCAAACGATAAAAGAGAGTGAGAGTGAGAGTGAATTGATAGAGTTTATATCAAAAGAACTTGGGTTCGGTTAGCATGCTAACCACCTTTAGGGTTGGAAAAATGACACCCCCTAGTATATTAAATACAACTATAGAATTTAATACACATATTAAATACACATTAGGAATTAAATGTACCATATTAATTAGGAATTCTCTCACTATTAAATACACATTAGGAATTAAATGTACCATATTAATTAGGAATTCTCTCACTATTAAATACACATTAGGAATTAAATACACACATTAAATACACATTAGGAATTCTCTCACTATATTTGATTTTTCATTTTTCAGCAGTCTCCGACCACCAGACTTCCTCCGACCGCCACACTTCTCCGGTGAAAATCCCATCGGCAGACTCCCTCCGACCACCTCCAAAAAATATACCACTGCACTGATACGGTGTACCACTGTACTGGTAGATATACCACTGCACTGATATGTTGTACCACTGTCCTGGTAGATATACCACTGCACTGGTAGCGATATCAGTGCACTGGTAGCAATGTCATATCTGAGTATTAGTGCAATGGTACAAATACCAGTAAAGTGGTAATTAATGTGGTGTATTTAATGCTTACTTTGTATTTAATAACAGAACATTTATTATGTTTACTTTTATTAATATTTGTCAATAATTAATGAAAAATTGACCAATTAAAATGGGTGTCAAAAAACCAACTCCTTAAGGGGTTAGCATGCTAACCCGTCCCAAAGAACTTTTGTGTACATCAAGTTGGTCTACAGCTTAGGCTCTTAGGCTGATATCCAATCATGAAGGGCACAATTGTCCCCTTCACCTTCCTTTGGCACCCGACATTCATTTCTTTTGATGTCAAATGCAATCTGTTTCAACTTTTAAAAAGCGAGGTTAACTTTGCATGCTTAACCCCCCAAAAAAATAATAAATAAAAAAAACCAAGAAAAGACAGGGCTAATTAACTTGGTCACTTGAAGTCAGAACATTCGAGAAATTGTGAAAAATGTAATGTAGGAATGGGTAGTGGGCGGATTCGAGACGGGTTGTTCGAAGTTCAAATGACAAATGATTCTAATTTTTCATTGATAAATTAATATCTTTCACATGGATGTGAGTTGGAATCCGAAAAAGAAAAAAAAAAGTGGATGAAAATTTTTTCGGGGATTTTTTCAGAAATAACACCTTAAAAAAATTACAAAAATAGCACCCATTCCGTATAAATTACAAAAATAGCACTCTTTTTTAAAAACCGCACCCCAAGGTGCGTTTTGCATGTAAACCGCACCCCCAGGTGCGTTTTGTCATTAAACCGCACCCCCAGGTGCGTTTTGTCATTAAACCGCACCTTGGGGGTGCGTTTTAGTTTTCTGGCCAAAACCGCATCTTGGCCATGCTGTTTGCGGTCTGACCTAACCAAACCGCATGGCCCAGATGCGGTCTAGGCCTGACCTAGCAAAACAGCACTTTGGTGGTGCAGTTTTGCTTCTCCAAAACAAACCGCACCCTCAAGGTGCGGTTTTGGCAACACAAACCGCACCCCCCCCCCCCTCCGCCCCCTCCAATGCGGTTTGTGTGTCAATTATTTTCCGACACCAGACATGCAGCCATGCAGATTCACAGACGTGGGCTGCATGGCAGATGAAAACCGCACCTCTAAGGTGCGGTTTTCATCGATGATTTTGCCTATAAAAGGTAGTCCGGGAAATCTTCTTCTCTTCACACCTCTCCTTCTCCCTTTTCAATTTTCTATTGTAGCTCCCTATTTCTCTAGTGTTTTTGCGGTTAACGTTAACTCGTAAGTTTATTTTGTATTACTTTTTATTGTGAATTGTGAATTGTGATTTTTATGATATTAGTTGAACTACTGTATTTTTGCAGATGGCATTCCAAAAGTTCACGCTTGGGTTACGGTGAAATGGTTACACGGAAGAGAGCGGAAAGGGGGTCACCTACGTCGGTGGCAATTTTCAGAAAATAAAGGTCGCTACCAGACCGATGCCTATAAAAGGCGCTCGTCGGTGCTGTGTCAACATCGATCCGTGGTATGCGGCGCTTTCGGGGTCGAGCGGGGTCATCGACGCTCATACGGTGAGGGGTAGGAGGCCACGGCTGATGTGGGCGAGGAATGGGATTGAAGTCGTGATGTGCAGTCGTGGAGGAACCATCATGCCAAGTACCCGAGGATGTGAGGGGTTCGTTGAAGAAGTTTGGGCGGGGATCATAGTATGTAGGGCGGGGATCGTGGTATGAGATCGGGTGGGGATCATATGGAGATTGATGGTAGCTTGGAGGGGATTGATGGTAGCTCGGGCGGGGATCATGGTATGAGCTCGGGAAATGCTCGGGATGGTAGGTCGGGCAGGGATCTTCGGAGTGGCTCGGGCGGGGATATTGGGACAAGCTGGGGGGGGGGGGATCTTGGGAGTGGCTCGGACGGGGATCTTGACGTGAGCTCAGACCGCCACCGTATGCCACAACCAAGGGGGTCGACACTCTCCACGCCTCCAACGACTTTATCTTGGGCTCATGAGGTCTTTCTCGAACCTTCTTGCTTTTCTTTCTCTCGTATGGTGGTGGGGGATGGGGGACATCAACTTGTACCGGAGGTGGCACCGGTGCGGGCATGGGTGGGTATCTACGATGATCACGAGCCTGTGCTCTGATACAGCCAAGCAGACTATTTGTCATCCTCCAAATGAAGCTCACATCTTCATGTCCAATTTCATGTTTCCCATGGGTCAACGCTTTGATCCGCTTGATCCCATCAGCCTAAATCACAAAAAAATGTTAGCAAGATAAGACTAATGATGTGACAGAATGAAATAAGCAATAAATTTAATCTTATTAGACGAAATATATTTACTATTGCACCATCGGCCGCACCCTCCGGAGTAACGTACCGAACCGATGTTTGTCGATATCTATCCATGTATGGGTCATGATACCTCATTCGACCCACACTTGTTGGAGTGACGATATCCTGAAGTTGTCGGTTCTCCCATACCGCGATCAATTCCGCCAACTTCGTGGGCCAATCGTGAGTACCTTGCCGACCATCTCGGTGGTGAAACGCCCTTTGATTCTCGGGGACTTCCAATAGAATGCACTGCTCCCGACCAAACTGACGAAGGCATCTATTCGGTAGGTGCCACTCCACGGTCCCTAAACAAATGAGAGGGACCCTCGTGCACCATTGCCCGATATTCTCGGGGAATTGCTGTAAATGCCAATGAACGATGTTCGCCGGGTATGGATCGAATTTGATCTACAAAAAAATATTAGTAACTTAAGTTAAATCTGATTGGAAAAATACATGTACTCTATGAAAAAAAGTTATAGCACGACTTGATTAGTTCTTGATGATTGGAAGTTAGAGTTTCCAGCCGCATGTTTCAAAATCCTTGCATCCAGAGCAATTTCAAATGGGTAAAAAAGAAAAGGGAGAGTAATTGTTCGTTTTTCCACTACGGATGCAAAAAGTGTAAAACTCATCATCAATACATCGTTGTCACTATTCTCCGACGTATATGAACCACCTGGACAACAAGCAAACCTCCTCTGCAACACAAGCTCCTTCTGATGATGAAAACTAGACAAATCACCTTTAACCAATGGTATCAGTGCTTGAATCGAGTCCCAACCAGATTCACTTGTTGTGACAAATCGCACATGTTGTGACAAATCCATCTCTCTGTCTCTGATTCATGAAATTACATTGGGTACAGGCAATGTGTTCTTTCTGGGCAGCCAAAGGCTTCGATGCGTTGATATTCCTATCCCCATTGCATTCGATTGGCTGCCTTGCTATGCCTTAATCTTCTTTTGTTCCTTTGTTTCATTGTACGTGTTTGTAGTATAGATATGCCATCCACAAAGTAGACTATCAATTACGACGATGAGGAAACTCAATTTCGTGTAAGATCTAGGTAAGTGTATCGGGCCCTATCTATGAAAGCATTAGCATATTTCCTTCGCTTCTTTCGATACATTCATTTTACCTTGTTTATTTCCCCATCGTACAATTAGGTCTCTCATTCGTCAGGCCGTGGAAAGCCATGACTGCTCCTCCTGATTTGGTTTATGCTTTGATTTAGGACCCATATGTGGGTTTGATTTTGTTTTGGAAAATTATTGAAATGACGAAGGCTAATTTGGGTTTCGGACAAGGGTTACGTGTCGAGAATTATTGATTGATGGTGGACTAAATCTTATTGATGTGCTCGAGGGAGGTATTCTCTTGCTATTTGAAGCTATTGCATTTACTAGAAACCAAGTTAGAAAACTCTTACTGAGCGAAAGCTGGAACATTAGTGAAAGTATTAGTTAATGATGCATCAGCTGGGATGTCTTTGATATTCTTGCTTGGAGAGCTGACTGGTGAGTATTTTTTTTGACAATAATGTGTGATCTATTAACCATCCATTTATTTGGTTGATATTCTAGGTTGACTTTTGGTTCGATTAAAGAGATATAGTCATATTTTTCGTTGGTTTTGTTATGATACTCCTTTTCAACATCATTATTTTCCTGATTTGAAATATTTTTGTGGTTAGTTTCCCATAAACAAAGTTTGTTCTAATCAACATTAACATAGGGAATAGCTTCAATCATAACATTTTTACACCGATTTCAAATGTATGAGCTAAGATCATTGTCGAATTGAATTATTCAAGCTATAATGTTGATCTTTAACATATAAAACATGGTTTCTTTTGAGTGAAATAATCTCATGCTTGCAAATACGTTTTCACAATATGAAGTTCCGTGATAGTGGTCACTTGCCTCCAGATTAAAAGTGGATTTCTAATTACTACAATATAAAAAGCAAGAGCAATAGTCATAATTGGAGCATATACAAGGTGGCTTGATATTTGATGACTCGATATTTGCACATGTTTTCCCCTTTGTTTCTTGATCGTTTAACCTTGCATTATCGCTTCTTTGTCCTATTTTACGCTAGGTGGTGTTCCTTTGTCACATTTCAGGCCCTAGCACATAAAGTGAAGCGTAGGCGCAAGTTTCAAGTCAATCGGAGATCATTTGGCAATTCGGGAGAAGAAACACGAGCATGACCTGAGGAAGAATGGATTTCCACCTCATCTTATGGACAAATAATCATGGAATCTTGTCATGAAAAGATAGAGGACGAGACTACGAGCATCTGGGTTCAAACGGCGACTGATTTGGAGTCCGGACGAGGGAGAAACGAAGCTTTGAACAGGGGCGGAGGAAGAATTACGGGCAGGAGAATTACGACCGTAATTTCCCCTCCCATGCCCGTATTTTCACTGCCGAGAGGAGGTTTGGATGCGCTGAAACTTAACCAAAACGCGTGTTTTGGGCAAAATACGGGCATGGAAGAATTACGACCGTAATTCAGCCCGTAATTCGCCCAGAATCGGGTTTTTGAGGCCAATTTCGAGCCAAGGGAGGGGGAGACCTGGGTTTTGGATCCCAAACACCCATGGGACGAACCCTAGAGAGAGAGAGAGCGACTTGGGAACATTCTTGGAGCTATTTTGGAGGATTTCTTCGCCATTGGAGCTCGGGAATCAAGCTTGGAGATGGAGATTGAAGATCTAGATCAGATTTCTGCAGTCTCTCTCTTCTCTATGGAGTAACTTCCCTTCACTTAGGTTTTGAGGAACCCTAGTTCCATGAGTTAGGATCTTTCTTGTATGAAGTTTTGGATGCTATATTGTTTGATTATAATCGAATGATGCATGTTTATTGAGTCAATTGAAGTCTGATCAACTTTTCCTGATTTCTGCTGCAACCTGAGATAGATAGAATCTGATTAGGTTGTTAGAGCCTCATCATTCGGTAGTAGGAGATTGGCTATACGAGAGTTAGCCAGTTTACTGCTTTGTACTGGAATCCAATTCCAGTAGTGGAGTTCTGTGCTTATTGCTTCAGCTTTCTATCCCGGTGAAGACTAGTCGTCTGCAGGATAGTTAGACTGAGAGGGCTTGGTCAGCTTAAGAGATTCCAAGCTACTGTCGAATCTTCCACAGTTTAATCAACAGTAAAACAACCAAAAGGAATTACAACTTGGACCTAATTGAAGAGCTAGGGGGAATCATACCTAAGTGAGTTCCCAAACTGTAATTAGTAGTTTTACTTAGTTTAGTTAGTAGAGTAGTTTAGTTAATCAATCCTTAATCTAGTTTGCTAGATAATGAACCGAAGCTGAGTAATAGTAACTCTAGAGACCCGTGGATTCGATATTTATTACTTGTGCCACTATACTGCAGTCCCTTTCATTGGTTACACTTGGCCATTGTTAGGTGTTGTATTTTAGAGCATCAAGTTTTTGGCGCTGTTGCCGGGGACTTTCTAGATTATTAGGAAAGGCAGAAGTTTGTTACTTTAGCGTTTTTCTTTTCTTTTCCACCCTTGCTTTTCACTTGGGTGTTTTTTGTTTTTGTTTTTGTTGGTGCAGATCTGAATCATGGATCCGCATGGCTTCTCCAACCAGTGGGGGTATCCACCACCATCCGAGTGGTATTACCCCGAGACTCCCTGGAGCAATCAAGGAGGAGAAGACTATGGATTCGGGTTCCAGTACCAACCCCCTTTCTACGGAGAACAACCAGACCCCTGGGCATATCAAGAACAACCTCATTACCAAGAAGACTTTCTCCCACAACCAGAAGGGCCGTCGGAGCTGGAGTTACCAATGGCGGCCTTCACGGGCCACTCTGCAGAGCCGTGCTACACTTCACTGGAAGATCCGAACAAACAATTAAGGCTTCTCGTGGAGCAGTTTGCTCGAGACACTGAGAGATCATGCTCCAAGATGGATCTTCAAATCAAAGCCCTTGCTGCTTCCGATCCCTCATTTCTCCATGATATGGAGGAGACTGTTCAGCGCTCAGCGAAGCAAACAGAGTGGGTGGAGCAAGTTTGCTCACATCTTGCTCAAGATCACCTTTCTGCTACCACGCTAGAAGAGGTGGAGGATGACAAAGGCTATGGGGATATTGAGGAGCATACAGAAGTTATCACAGAGAACTCCCATGATAATCATGATCAGGAAAGTCCTCTGGTTGTAGATCACACAATTCCTTATTTCTGCTCTAACATGCCGGGCCCGAGCGAGGAGATGCAAGATGATCTCATTGAAGAAATTACATGGCGACTTGCTCTCCAATCTGTGCTAGAAGAAGAAGAGCAAGAAAGGGTGCAGAAAGAAGTTGTGGAGGATGAAGAAAATGAGGCAGGAGGAGTTGTTGATCATTTCCCAGGGGTGATACCACATGAAGAAGAAAGGGGGGTTGAAGAAGCAATTGGCGTCCAGGCTGAGAACGGAGTTAAGGTAGAAGAGGCCTGCACCGACCATGAGTTGCAAGTGATATCCCCACCAAACTTTGAGGAACTGCTTAGCAAGGACCCATTTGCAGTGTCTCTTTGCCAGACCAAGGCCACATCAACATCGGTCCCTCTTGGTGGACGCGATGGTGGCCAATCGATGCTGTCATATCTGGTTTGGGGTAATGAGACGAGAGAAGAGAAGAAGAGGTCTCGAGGGTGGAGACTTCATCTGCATCAAGTACATGAGCCTTCATCACCTGCCACACCACATGCTCGTGACTTGAGACTCCACCTCATCGACGAGAACCTCAACTTCAAGGAGGTTCTAGCATGGACCGAAACTTAGGAGCCATCGTCCGGCTCACGACGTGAAAGAAGCGCTTGTTGGGAGGCAACCCAACCAGTCGGTTTGCATTTCTTTCTCTATTTCTCCTCGGTTGAGTAAGTTTTGTTATTTGATTTTAGAGTCAATAACTCAGCCTTTGTGAGATTTTGTGTGGTGTTTGTGGTCTGACCACTCTCTCCTCCTAGAATACACCGCCTGCCCCGTCCACCATCATTCACCCTGGATCTGGTAACTTCGTTATACCCACCTTATCTTTCCTCCATTGAGGACAATGTCGTGCTTAAGTGTGGGGGGATGTTCGATTATGTATGCGGGTGAATGTTTGGCTGTTTGTGTGCTTGGAGCCTAGTTCACTGTCCAAATTTTTAAATTTGAGGGCTCCAAGTACGTGTTTCATTGCAAATTGCCTGCTCAGTATGCTTTGAATTGACAGTCTCTATATTAATGTGCAACCTAGGGAGGTAGTGTAGCACTATGGAGGATGTTGAAGTATAAGATTTTTCCTATCTAGCTCTCTGCTGTGCCAGTTGATTTTGTGAATTAGTGGAGCTAAGACCGTTGAATTCATGTGGTAATGGTGACTATGTTTGGATTGTGTTATGGAATTGTGTATCGAACAGGGTGCTCATGTGAAAAATGAAAAGCAGTTGGTCCCCATGTCAAAATCATAAAATCCTTCACATAAAAAAAAAAAAAATCATAAAATCTTAAACATGGGGTAAGCCCAACGTGTGCGGCACCGTTCATTGCACAAAATTGGGTTTTGGAAGAGATTTTAGTGATCCTTAGTGGGGTACTCCTACAAGGTGAAGCTAAGTTGTCTCTAGTACAAGTAAAACTTCCACCCGTTGAACGGTTTGCCTACTTGAGGATGTGTTTTTAAGGGCACGGATAGAGCTTCCGACCCCCTTAATTTCATTGACCCTCCACACGAGTTGAGGAAAAGGAGTTAAAAGAAGTACTCTAGCGAGCGCCAGATGTACAGAAATTGCTCTTGCTCGACTAATAAGGGTCGACCGTGTAAGAGACTGCAGTTGGAACCCCCGCTAAGTGAATGAAAAAAATAAGTAAACAAAAGTAAAGTGAAAGTGAAAAGGGGGTTCCAACGGTGAAATGAAGTGAAAGAGCACCCCGGTACAACGAGTCCTTGGTTGTGAATGTTGTGAGTCCCTTATCCATGAACTGACTGTCTTACTTCTACTTCTTCTCATGATCCTGGCTTGAGTCTAGTAGTCGCATTGAGAGAGATAGGGAACGTCTTAGAAGACCAGTTGACCTCCTAAGCTGCTATATGATCTAGGAAATCCTCTACCGACGAGAGGTCTGGAGAGCTGCATTGGTTTGAGTTAGGTTTGCTTGGGGACAAGCAAACGGTTAAGTGTGGGGGAATTTGATGACTCGATATTTGCACATGTTTTCCCCTTTGTTTCTTGATCGTTTAACCTTGCATTATCGCTTCTTTGTCCTATTTTACGCTAGGTGGTGTTCCTTTGTCACATTTCAGGCCCTAGCACATAAAGTGAAGCGTAGGCGCAAGTTTCAAGTCAATCGGAGATCATTTGGCAATTCGGGAGAAGAAACACGAGCATGACCTGAGGAAGAATGGATTTCCACCTCATCTTATGGACAAATAATCATGGAATCTTGTCATGAAAAGATAGAGGACGAGACTATGAGTGTCTGGGTTCAAACGGCGACTGATTTGGAGTCCGGACGAGGGAGAAACGAAGCTTTGAACAGGGGCGGAGGAAAAATTACGGGCAGGAGAATTACGACCGTAATTTCCCCTCCCATGCCCGTATTTTCATTGCCGAGAGGAGGTTTGGATGCGCTGAAACTTAACCAAAACGCGTGTTTTGGGCAAAATACTGGCATGGAAGAATTACGACCGTAATTCAGCCCGTAATTCGCCCAGAATCGGGTTTTTGAGGCCAATTTCGAGCCAAGGGAGGGGGAGACCTGGGTTTTGGATCCCAAACACCCAAGGGACGAACCCTAGAGAGAGAGAGAGCGACTTGGAAACATTCTTGGAGCTATTTTGGAGGATTTCTTCGCCATTGGAGCTCGGGAATCAAGCTTGGAGATGGAGATTGAAGATCTAGATCAGATTTCTGCAGTCTCTCTCTTCTCTATGGAGTAACTTCCCTTCACTTAGGTTTTGAGGAACCCTAGTTCCATGAGTTAGGATCTTTCTTGTATGAAGTTTTGGATGCTATATTGTTTGATTATAATCGAATGATGCATGTTTATTAAGTCAATTGAAGTCTGATCAACTTTTCCTGATTTCTGCTGCAACCTGAGATAGATAGAATCTGATTAGGTTGTTAGAGCCTCATCATTCGATAGTAGGAGATTGGCTATACGAGAGTTAGCCAGTTTACTGCTTTGTACTGGAATCCAATTCCAGTAGTGGAGTTCTGTGCTTATTGCTTCAGCTTTCTATCCCGGTGAAGACTAGTCGTCTGCCGGATAGTTAGACTGAGAGGGCTTGGTCAGCTTAAGAGATTCCAAGCTACTGTCGGATCTTCCGCAGTTTAATCAACAGTAAAACAACCAAAAGGAATTACGACCTAATTGAAGAGCTAGGGGGAATCATACCTAAGTGAGTTCCCAAACTGTAATTAGTAGTTTTACTTAGTTTAGTTAGTAGAGTAGTTTAGTTAATCAATCCTTAATCTAGTTTGCTAGATAATGAACCGAAGCTGAGTAATAGTAACTCTAGAGACCCGTGGATTCGATATTTATTACTTGTGCCACTATACTGCAGTCCCTTTCATTGGTTACACTTAGCCATTGTTAGGTGTTGTGTTTTAGAGCATCAATATTCTTCTCTCTGCAAGGAATACATACATGGTGAGCATATGTTGTCATGTGAAGGAGAAACCGAACTCTTTGTGTTTGTAGTATAGCCTGTTGAAATGATACAATCCTAGAATCCATCATTTTCCATTCAGGATTGATTGTCAAAAAGGTCAAGTTGAATTGCAAGAAAGAACCTAAAAACTGTCCAAGTCTTTTCCACGTTTCAGGTCGCCAACTTTGTAAGCTTGGTTCTTTGAATTGGCTCGATGGAAATGGGAGTTTAAGGGCTTGTTTTGAAGATGGAGTGTTCCTCTACACATTGGTATGCTTTGGAGATTGAGAAGAAGTCCAGAAGGGCATTTTCATATCTCAACAGAACCCATTGTCAACACAAGAAAACTGCAAGAATTTGGCTAAGTGTAATTCCGTGTTCATGAGACCTACTTTGGTGCTCGATTCAAGAGAGTTGGCTAAGAATCGAGTTTCAAGCTTCATACCACATCAAAGTACGAGAAAAGTAATACAGAGGCAAGGCATTGGCTGATTGAATTGATCCTTGGAAGTCTTTGAACAAATGGTCCAAAAGATTGTATGAAGCATCAATTGGGAAGACTGCCTGCAAGCAATCCAAATCCTTCTCGGATTAGGATTCAGAATCCTCTTAGCGTAATTAAGTTGTTTTTATGTTTTGGTTGTAACTAGGTTTTCCTTCTTTGACTTGTAAACGTAGTTAGGTTCTATTTAAACTTGCTATTACATTGCAATCGTTAGTTTTTTGATGAATTGAGCACAAACCCTAGTTGATTCACCTAGCCTTTTGCGACGCGAGTTTGAGCAAACAACTTAGAGAGTTCTAGGTTTATTGGGAGCCTGTATTGATTAGCTAAACACCCATCGAATTATCTATTTCGAGCCTTCTCCCTCCTGAGAGACTGCACAAAATCGACCATCCAAACACACTAAACCTTCCTTTGTTTCGTGTGTTCTTATCTAAGTCTCAACTCCATACGTTGAATTGAAGAAGCTGCTATGCTCTGAATAAAACAGACTCTCCTTGGGCTCATCATGAAATATACACATGTCTAGACCTCGTCGATCAAACATCTTCACCTGGAATTTTTTGACGTCATACCTTGATTACATGATTTTTGCTCATCAAACCTGCATGCCAAATAAGCTCCCTCCTTAATCCTTATGTTTTTCTTAATATGCACATGCACACCCTCATAAGAAAAATTGTTGGTGGTTGAATAAATTGTCTTCGGTGCACTCAATTTTTTGGGTACATTCAATGCGATCTCCTCATAATTGTTAATGAGAGTATGAGATTCATATCAAAACAGTATCGATCTTCACTTATGATATGATGAACAAGAAACACATAAATTTGCAAAAAAAAAAAAAAAAAAAAACATTCAAGATTTACTACAATTTGAAGGATTAAAGGTTTAGAAATTTAGGGTTAGGGTTTATAATTTGGGTTTTTGTGCATGTGTTCAAACTTGTAGGTTTATAGGTTAGGCAAATGGGTTGATTGGTTATGATCCTATATTATATCAGACTAATTCTACCAATTAAAATCCAAAATTCGATGTCTTAAGGTTACTTTTAGAGTTGGGTGCATTGTATGTACTCATTTTTGTGGGTGCACCGAAGTAGCCACTTGTGTGGTTGCGTATTCGGTGCACCCACTTTTTGGGATGCATTCAATGCACTCACCTCATAAGTGTTATTCCGAGCATGCGATTCATGTCAAAATGATATCAATCGTTGCTTATGATGTTATGAACCGTTGCGGTTAATTAAACCGTGTTAGTATTGGGCCTTGATGGGCCTCGTCTGATTTGTTGGATTAGGGTTTTATCTATATAAGCTTAGCTATCGACTTGTGTGATAGCAAGCCGTCAAGATGTAATCCTAATAAGAGATCAGCCGTGAGCTCTTATGAGCTCACCGTGGATTAGTCTCGATCAATCAATCGATCGAGGATACCACATAAAATTGTTGTCTCGTGTGTTGTTCTAATTCCGCGTCATCAATTTCTACATGGTATCAGAGCTGGTTTGTCCTTAAGGTCACGTATTCAAGTCCTCACGACCCCAATATTAACCGTTGTCATTCTTTCAAGCACATGGTATGGTGGGCCTGTGCAAACGTGAAGCCCATGAGTCGGCTTTCGTTTGAGGGGGCGTGTGAGGAAGTGGTTAAGTACCATACATGGGCCTGTATAAGTTTGATCCCAATAACTCGAGTTGTTGGGAGAAGGTTATGTTGGATCTTATACCACTCTCTAACACGCCCCCTCAAACGAAAGCCAACCCATTTGCTTGAAGTTTGCACAGGCCCACCATACCATGTGCCTGAAAGACAATTGTTAATATTGGGGGTCGTTGAGATTCGAACACATGACCTTTCGGTTCTAGGCTCTGATACCATGTCATAAACCAGTTAGTCCCAATAACTCGAGTTGTTGGGAGAAGGTTATGTTGGATCTTATACAGGCTCATGTATGGTACTTAACCACTTCCTTACATGAACAAGAAACACATGAATTTGCAAAAACACTTATTCAAGATTTACTTTAATTTGACGGATTTAAGATTTAGGGTTTGAGTTTAGTTTTATAATTTAGGGTGTTTAGTTTGGATTCAAAATTGAAGGTTAAGGGTTATAGTAATAAATTGATTAATTAGTTGTGATTTTATGTTATATTATTTTTAGAGTTTGATGGAAAAAAAAGAGTATACCAAAGTATTCATTATGTATGGCTTACGTACGCCTATAAGATATCAACCCAAAATAAATCCTACGTTATATCCAACTCCAAACCCACCGATCAAACTCATTCCCCGACCCATAACCACACATCCCCTTCAGTCTAACCATATAACTAATCTTAATTGTATGCAACTTTAAAACTTACAAGGCCCCATCCCTCTTTATATGTATCAGTGTTGTTAAGCTGCGTTCGATGCACCGGTTGATTCGTTTTAACCCTGATCCGGTAAGGAAAACGGGCCACACACACTCGTTGAATTAATTCGCTGTAAATTTATCGGGTTGGAGATCCTATGACGTCGTTTTTCCCTATGATTTGCGAAATGCCACTCATTTTCATTTTCCTTTTTGTCTAACCATATTTTTGAAATTCTATGTTGAACATTTGAATATTGATGCTATATAAGTGTGTGAATTTTTATTATATGTTGGATCCAAGTACGACGTGTTATTTTTTAGTAATGTTATATATTAATTATTACCTATATGTCAAATAAGATTTTATATAATTTATAAATGTATGAATTACATAATGACTATTTTCATATTTTCAGGCTAAATCGGATTATAACAGTCAAACCATTAATCCTAACTCACTTACTTGTCCAGATCAACGGACTAAACCGGGTTGACAACTATAGAGGATGAACCTTGAATGTTGGTATGGCCAAAGATTCAAGAATGAAGAGATCCACCAACAAACTCAGCCTTTTATGAATCATTGAAAGATCAGTCAGAAGAAGCGTCCCTGAAGAAATCGGCAGAAAAGGTTGAGACGATGCTTTGGGAGAATGTGGGCCCAATGTTAATTTACCATATGCATGACAGTTGGTAATATTGATGGGTCTAATTAATAAACTCTAGTATTAATAATTACGTTACCTCCAAAGTGTTTACTGATTGTCACTTTCATATACCAATCCAAACCTGATCCGATATATGTTGATATATGCAATTAGTCAGCCATTTCGAGTTGGCAAAGTTCTCATCTATAACACCTTATTCTTCATCATTCGTTATCATTTTCTTTGATTACTTGCACGATGTTATATTTGCCTAACATGTTTTCGTAGGTGGTAGGTTACGATATTTGCTATTTTGTGATGGAGGATGACCGTCAACACATACGTTTAATACTATATCAATTCTTATGAACATCCATTAAATTTAGCGAACTGGAGTGGAAATTTTGATTTTACTGCCATGATAGTGTTTACCAAGATAAAGTATGATTTTTAGTTTTTTGGACAAAAAATGTATAATCCTATTCTTCATAAGAATTAACTACTCATTAGTGATGTACATTTTTCGGGTAAAATACCTCGGGTGCCACTTAAAATACCCGAGGTATTTTACCCTACATTTTTCTTTTTATAGCTGTGAGATTTGTAATATTTGAATTCAGTGAATTGAATAAAATAGGATGTGTCACAAGTTTATTCAAACTTTAGAGATGATAATTGTATTTTTGTTTGAAAGAAATATGGGTAAGCAAAATAAAAAAGGCCGAGTTGTGCAAAACACATGTGACAACGAGAAATAGTGAACGACGCCTAAGATGAATGATCGGAACATTGTTACATTCGATCGATTTGTCTGGTTTGATCCGGACCAAATGTTCACCCTGTTAATTTTTCTTAAATATGTTATAAAAAGGGTTAGTTGCATGGTTGGTCACTGAAATTACAAAAAGCGTTCATGTTTGGTCACTATAAATATTTAAATCCACTTTTGGTCACTAACTTTACAAATCCCGTTCATTTATGGTCACTCTCCGTTAGCTGCCATCCAACGCCGTTAACGGCGTCCGTTAAGTGATGACGTGGCTGACGGATTTGCCTAATCAGCACTTTTTAACCCCAAAATTGACTGACCCGACCCGCCACGTCATTTAAACCCGCCATGTCAGCTAAACCTAACCAAAACTCTACCCAAACCCGACCAGACCGGCTAACTAAAACCAAACCAGACCAGACCCCCAAAATTGTTTGACTAAAACCCTAATCAAAGACTGCCTCCATCTCTCCCCCGTGAGGAGAGAGAGAACGGACTCCATTAAAGCTGGAAGAAGTAGACAAAGGAGAAGGAGACTCAGACGGACAAGGCCTACCGACTTGCGTGCGAGAATACGATGGCTACCTCCACAACCACAAGTACGCCTCCCAGGAGAAGACTAAATACCAACCCTCACGCTCGAATTCTTCACGGCGGCGCTACATCCTCTTCCGCATCTACTCCTTGTTCTCCCTTGAAAAAGCTCAATCTGATGGCTCCACAACAACCCCTGCCGCAGAAGCAGCCACTCGACAGCGGATCTAAGTTAGTTCGGGATTGGGCGGGTCTCTCCATGGAGCTGCTCTCCGTGATTATGGAGCATCTCAGTCCCGCAGATCGCCTGCGGATTGCTCAGCTAGTTTGCTCCTCGTGGCGGAAGGTCTGCCGGGACCCGTACATCTGGAGATCTGTCGACATCAGCCATTATTCCTGGGAGCGAGTTACCGATGTGGAGGCGCTCTGCGCGCAGGGCGTCGATCGGAGCTGCGGTGGTCTGGTTTCTCTGAGCTTGGAGTGCTTCAGCTTCGATAAACTCCTCACTGACATCGCTAGCAAGTAATTCATTCTCTGCCTCCATTTCCTCTTTGATTAGGGTTTTAGTCAAACAATTTTGGGAGTCTGGTCTGGTTTGGTTTTAGTTAGCAGGTCTGGTCGGGTTTGGGTAGAGGTTTGGTTAGGTTTAGCTGACATGGCGGGTTTAAATGACGTGGCGGGTCGGGTCAGTCAATTTTGGGGTTAAAAAGTGCTGATTAGGAAAATCCGTCAGCCACGTCATCACTTAACGGACGTCGTTAACGGCGTTGGACGGCAGCTAACGGAGAGTGACCATAAATGAACGGTTTTTGTAAAGTTAGTGACCAAAAGTAGATTAAATATTTATAGTGACCAAACATGAACGCTTTTTGTAATTTCAGTGACCAACCATGCAATTAACCCTATAAAAAAATGAGACAAAAACAATCTGATACGAACTAAACCCTTACACTACACGCGGTCCTACCCCGAACTATCGTATCCCCAGCCGACCATTTCTTTTGATGAGAGTCATTTCCCAAGCTGAAAAAGTATCCTACATATAAATGGGTGTGTGTTATTTGCCGCCTGTGGCATTACTATTTGCCGCACTTGTATTAAGTTAAAATGACTTATTTGTCCCTATCAACACTCCTTCCATCACCCTCACACTATCACCATACCACCATCGTCGGCAGAACCACCGTCACTTGATTTAACGCCGGCGACCACCACCACCAGAGCAAACCGCCGGCCGACCACCATCGCCGTTAAACCACCATCGTCGGAGCCATCGAATGAGACCACCTCCGTCGCCGTTTGACCGCCACTCCGCTGTCAGACCACCATAGAAGGCCGCCGCCACTCTACCATCGGCGGGAGGACCCCGTCCGACGCCGGCGGGAGGACGGGCGGATAAAGAATAAAAAAAACTGTTCTTAATTAGCGTCTCCGTAATTGTCTTTGTTTTATTTAAGGAAGTTATTTTCTGTTGTTAATAATTAATAATTTTAAAAATTAATCTCGTCAGTTATTAATTAAGGAAATGAATTGAATATAATGACTAATGAGAGTGAGTAGTTAGGAAGGAATTAAATCCCTACACTTACTATAAAAAAAGATGAATTGTGCCAAAATATCCATCGAGATTTTGGGGGCTCCGTGAATCATAAAAAGGTGTTTCTTGAGCCTATCATGCGTATTTCAATGATGCAAATAAATGTTGTTAGTGGAAGTAGAAACGATTTTACCTCTAAGACAATGTCGTAGTATGATTGTATGGATTGAGGTTGAAGTTAGCTATTTTATGGGAATTAGGGTTTAGAGTTTGAGAGAGGTAGAATGTGTAGAAGGGAATGATATGCTTTCATCTTTTGTTACCGTTATCGTTGTTCCGATTATATTAAATATTAATTAATCTAGCTAATTCTAGTCTCACCACATTTATTCACTAAACTTATTTTATCAAACAAATTAAAAAATTACTTTAAGTAATTAAATGAAATCCTAATCTCACAAAACCCTAATTGGTTAAAGTCAAACCCTTCTTTTTGATCTGTTAGTTAAATGTGGGTGGGATGTTAAATGAGTGTAATTCGGGAACTATTGCTAGACGCCGGTATTGTAGTTATTTAGGAAAATAATTATCAAGTTAATTAGGAAGTTTCCTTTCGAATAATTAGCAAGTTATTGTTAGTCGTTGGTTATTGTAGTTAATTAACAAATTAGAGGTTGTTAATTAGGACGTTTCCTTTTGAAAAATTCTTACTCAAAATAAAATATTTAATTAATGTAAACTTATAAACTCCTCTACTTAATATTCCATCGTTCACAAAAAAAATCTACCAAACCTATATCAACGAAAAATAAATCTTACCTTAAAAAACTCCCTTTAATATGCCTAATTATCAGTTTTATAAATATTAAAATAAGTTTACCTACTTAATCACAATCCTAAAAAAAACTCACTTTAATTTCCACAAAAAAAGTCACCGAAATTCAACAAAAAAAAGTAACCGGCGGCCGTCCGACGCCGAAAATGGTCGGACCCCGTCCGATCGTCGCAGGCGGGCCATGTCCGCCGTCGACGAGAGGATGGCGTCCGGCGCCGGCAAGCGAACAGTTTTTTTTTTCCTGTTTCGTTAATTTAGTAAATATATTTATTTTTATTTTAGACTCAATTGGGAGGTCCGGAAGTTTGACGGCGGCGGAGATGATTTGGGAGGTCCGACGGCGGTGATGATGGGGTGGACGGAGGTGAAGATGGTTTTTGGTGGTCGGCGGTGGAGGTTGCACTAGCCGGCAGCGATGGTTGGGAGGGAGGAGGTGGAAGGGTTTGAGAGGGAAGAGTTTCTTTTAAAATGAAGAAGGGGCAAAATTGTCCTATTGTTTGTAACTACAGGCGGCAAATAGTAAAAACACGGGCGGAAAATAGCGATTCATTATAAATGCTCTTCCACCATTAACTGTATCCCTAAAGGTCCTAATCACATGGAGCCAAATGAACCAACAAATTAAACAACTTTTGGGGTAAAGGGCATAGATGGAGAAGCATAACCCGAGGGTATCCCAAATACATGAAGCAAACTTACATTTTTAAACTTCAAACTCATCAATCAATTAAGCAAAAGCTCGAGTCCGTAAGGCTATAGGTCAATTCCGTGGAAGAAATGATTTAAGATTTTAATCCGGGTCTCTTTGAACAACTCAATTTGAGTTATTGGGATTAATTGAGTATTTTTTTTTATGAATGGTGAGCTTTATTCATCATACAATCAGCATACAAACTGTCAATTACATCTCCCTTCTATGTTTTCAACTCTGCACAGCAAACACAGAAAAACCAAAATTCAACTATGCTAACCACTACCTGTACAGCAAACACTGAAAAACCAAAATTACAACATTTTATACCAAGGCTTCTGCCTTTCAGCAGCTTCTGCAAAAACTAAATCTCCTGCTATCTTGAACTCCACCTCCTGCGCCATTCTGTGAGCCAACTCTTCAGGAGCCAGGGACTTGCTGCCATGTATTCGTCTACACCTCTCACGCCACACCTCACTAACCAGTAAGCACCATATGGATCGCCCTACCTTGCATTTTCCTAGCCTGTTGACAGCTGCTAAAACCCCACCTTAGAAAGTCCACCCAAGAGAAATCTGCCAAGGATCAAACACAATACTCCAAACAGTCCTGACATAAGAGCAGGAGAAGAAGAGATGGTCACGAGTCTCTGGATCAGAATGACAGAGGGGGCATATGTCCAGAACATCCGGGTTCCACTTCTTAACTTTGTCTAACGTTGTAATTCTGTCCTGTATAACCAACCACGTTATTAAGGAATTCTTAGGGATCATAGGCCCCTTCCATACCAGTGATGCCCAGGGAACAGTTTCTCTTCGAGGTCTGAGGCTATCCCAGACAGTTTTTATACTAAACCTAGACATGACAACACCATTCCACTCTACCCCAGCTTCAGTACAGATCAGGGACGAATTAAGAAGTGGTCTAGTCTTAAGTATCTTGTTCCAGACCCAGAACCCTCTAATTTGAGTTTCCCAGATGCTAATATTGCGTAACCTGTACTCCTTCAACCATGCAATCCACAGAGTTTCTTGATTTGCTAGAACAGCCCAGATATGTCTAGCCAGGCAAGCTTGGTTCCAAGACCATAAATCACGAAAGCCCAGTCCACCTTCTTCCTTAGGAAAAGCAGCGTGCTTCCATGCCACCTTTGCTTTCTTGTTCTGTTCCATGTTACTCCATAAGAATTTTGAACACAGGCTTTCCACTTCCTTGATAACTTTCTTGGGGAGTTGGATGATATTCATCCAGTACTGAGATATGCTAGCTAGAACTGCTACTATTAACTGAATTTTCCCAGCGTATGTCAAAAGCTTCGGTTGCCAGCCTCTTATTCGACTTGTAATCTTTTCCACCAATGCTTTGCAATCCACTGCTTTCGGTTTCCCTACAGAGAGTGGGATCCCCAGATATCTGACAGGGAGAGTTCCTTCTTTGAATCCAGAACAATTAACCAGTGTTTTCTTCACCTCCTCATTCACACCCGCACAAAAAATCTCACTCTTAGAAGGATTACATCTTAGCCCTGAAACCAGATAAAACTTCTCTAGGATTGTAGCAACTGTTCCCATTGCCTCTTCTGAACCCTTTGTGAAGATCAGAAGATCGTCAGCAAAGCAGAGGTGGGTGAGCCCAATCCTTTGGCATTGAGGATGGAAAGGTAGGACTTTCCTTGCTGCTGCCCTATTAAGCATACAGGAGAGAACCTCCATACTAATAGTGAACAAGTATGGTGACAATGGGCAGCCCTGTCTGAGTCCCTTCTTGGCAGGGAAGTTTCCAGTTAAACCTCCATTCAAACACACAGAGAACTTAGTCGTTTCTAGACAACATTTGATCCATTGAATAAACTTCTCAGGGATTCCCATGGCCCTCAGGACAGTGACCAAAAAATACCAATCCACACTATCAAACGCCTTCATAATATCTATCTTTAAAGCACATCGAGATGAGACATTCCTTCTGTTGTACCATTTTACCAATTCATGTGCTAGGATTATGTTATCAGATATCAGTCTACCCTTAATGAAAGCTGTCTGGTTAGGGCTAATGAGCTGTGGGAGAACTTCTTTCAAACGATTGGCAAGCAATTTCGAGATACATTTATAGATGAAATTACAGCAGGAAATAGGCCTAAACAACTTCATTGAACTGGCATTAGGGACTTTAGAGATAAGGGCAAGGATTGTAGAGTTTACCTCTCTTCTAAGAGTTCCAGTAGCAAAGAAGTCCAAAATTGCTTCAACGGTTAAAGGGCCAACCAGACTCCAATTATCCTGGAAGAATTCTGCAGAGAATCCATCTGGGCCAGGGGCTTTTCCTCTCTTCATGCTCTTGATTACTGATGTGACTTCCTCCACTGAGATTGGTGCACAGAGAGAAGAATTCTGGGGGAGATGGTGGTAAAGCAGCTTCTGAATAGTTCTCACTGTCACATGCTTAATAGAAGGATTGACTGTCCCCAGCAAATTCTGATAGAAGTCTACTGCCTCCTTACCAATTTCATCCATCCCTTCCAAACATCTACCATCTTCTGTGATTAACTTGGAAATGGTACTTCTGGAGTTTCTGGTTCTGACCACGCTGTGAAAATAACTGGTATTAAGATCCCCACAGTTAATTCTCTGCTCTCTTGACTTTTGCTTCAGGAATTTTTCCTCAGCCTTCTTTAGATCTAGAAGCTGGACCATACACCTCTGTCCAGCTTGAAAAGCTGAGGAGGCAGGGCGCTCCATCACTTCTTTTTTAGCCAAT